GGCCTTTCTTCCGAGGTGCCTCTCCATGGCCTTGAATCTCCAACCTTTCGGTGAGCTGCCGAGGTCATTCACTGCTTGCACACACCCAAGTCAGATCCAGTTGTGGAGTTGTTTCTGACGCCTGGCGACCCCGGGTATGTTAAGGTAGAATTGTACTCCACAGAGCTTTCAAAGCTATAGTCTTCTGGGGGCAGTTAGCCAACTCTTTCTTCAGAGACACCCCCCTATCAAAGCCCCCAAACCAAACTCACTGCCATTGAGTCAGTTCTGACTCAGAGTGACCCTATAGGACAGGGTAGAATTGCCCCTGTGAGTTTCCAAGACTGTAATGTTTGGGGGGCGCCAAGGTGGGTGTAGTAGAAAGCCCCACCTTTCTCTTGTGGAATGGCTGGTAGGTTTGAAGTGCTGACCTTGGGGTTAGCAGCCCAACTTGTGACCACCAGGACACCAGGGCTCCTTTTAGTTACTAGTGGAACTCTAACCCTTTGTGCCTCTGAGCCTAGAAATCAAAACCAACAATTGCAGGAAGAAATGACCTTATAGGATGGCTGAGATCAGCCACATGGTGTTTACAAGGCTGTATATCTTTACCAAAGCAGACTGTCAGCTCTTTCTCCCACCAACCTTTCGGTTCATAGCCTAGTGCTTAATGAACATAGAAAGGGTAGAACGTTAAACAGTCTTGTCAATAGAAGTGCTAAATTCTTTAGGTACTTGAATCTGATTGTGCCTGGGTTGCAGCAAAGAAGAGGGTCTGGAGAGATTAGAGGATAAGGGGAGTGGATACTTATCCCCATAGTATGGAGCCCTGGTGGCACAGTGGTTATGAGTTGGGCTGCTAACCACAAAGTCAGCGGTTCAAAACCACCAGCCACTCCCTCACGAGAAAGAAGGGGCTTTCTACTCCTATAAAGAGTTACAGTCTTGGAAACTCAGAAAGGCATTTCTGTCTTATCTGTAGGCTCACTATGAATCAGCATCGACTCAATCAATGGCAGTGAGAGACTTTCGATAACCTCATGGTACTGGGTTCTGGGTTGTGCAGAGAAGCACCGGGCCAGGAGGTGAGAGGTTTGGGGCCTGGTCCCAGCATTAGCACAAGGTGGCTGTGTGTCTTGGATTCATCCTGGCACCCTTTAGTGTATTTCATTTCTCAGTAACGTCACCCCAGACAACTTGCTGGAGCCTTGTGTGTGTCTGTTTTAATACACCTTATTATTTGACCTGTCCCGCATTGATCCTGGACAGTCTAGCTCCTCTAGAGTCTTAGCTACCCAGTGCTGCCATCGCAAAAGAGTACTTTTGACTTTAAAGGATCGTAATTCATTGCATGACACTTCAGGAGGCTAGAAGTCCAAATTCAGGGCATGGCTTTCTGTGGGGCGAGCCTCTTCCTCGGTTTCATGCGCTAGCAGCTGCCAGTAATCCTTGGTTCTCTGGGTCTGTGGACACATCTGCCTCAGTCCTCCGTCCTCCTCTGACACCTCTGGTGTCTTCTGTTTCCTCTGTAACTCAGAAGTGATTAGGCTTGGGGCTTACTGTACACTGCTAGGACCTAATTAACCTAAAAGGAAACCCTCTATTTCCAACCAGGGCCCTATGGTGCAGTGGTTAGGATCACAGCACATATTTTGAGGGGGGCGCAGTTCAATCCATAACATCTGGTATAACAAAAGTATACACGGAAAGGCCTGTTTATAAAACAAGAATGTTTATTGTCATGAACAAAACAAGGAGCTCTGGTGGAACAACTGCTAAGCTCTAGGCTGCTAAATAAAAAGTTGGCTGTTCAAACCCACCCAGGAGCTCCATGGGAGATAATGTTGGCGAGCAGCACACCTCAAGATTAGAGCCAAGAGTTCACTATGTCACCTGAGGTCAGTCATCCACCCATATGGTGTGCCATCGTAACCCCCGTAAGTGTACAACTTTGGGCCGTGTTGTGGTCTCCAGTCTTGGGTAGCCATCCAGCACCCTTCATTCCTGACCCCAAACAGCAGACAACGTGTATTTCACCAGCTCTTCCTACGTTCGTCATCCAAAGAGGTCAGGCGAGGCTCAGAGGAGACAGTCAACGGATTCTTCTGTGGTCCGTTTTACATCTTTCACCTCTCATTCTTTATTGGACAGTTTCCTTGCGCTTCTTCTGAAGGTTAAGCTATTTAATCTGAAAGCGGGAAGATGCTTTGCTAGAAGAACAAACCCAGGCCCTGTTGCTGGTGCGGATGCTGGCTACTCAGTGTTTGGCAAAAAACATCTCAAGAAGCCGTGGGGGCCGTGGGGGGTTCAGGGTCAGCGCCGATTTCAGGAAAGATGCCAGCTGTTGAATTTAAGTTGAAAGAAGGGAATGTGGCAAATCATAGAGAACCGGGGGTTATTTTTGTTCTTTTTTAAGCAAGAGAAAATTCGATTTGATATGTTTTCTTTCAAGCCCTTTTCCAGTTGATATTTTGCATTTTCTTTAGAACCCAATTTTAATGAACAAACAAACAAAAGCCTCAGGAAAGAGTTGCAGAACTTGAGCTTAGTGAGAGAGAATGTGTCACTTGCGACGTTTCTTCTCTTAATGGCGTGGGAAGATCAAGCCATTAGCTTGTGGTTCAGACCTTACTCATTCTAGCGATTGCAGAAAGAAACGGCCTGTTGGATGCCAAAATTTGGCACAGTGGGGTATTTCAACTCAATTTCCTAACATTTTGTGAACTCTGCTAGGCAAAGTGTTGGTGCCTGGTGGCTGAGCTGTGACCCGAAGGGTCACCCGTTCTAAATCACCAGCTGCTCTGCACGAGAAAGACAGGGCTCTCCACTCCTGTAAAGAGCTACCGTCTGGGAGACTCACAGGGACAGTTCTACCCTGCCTTACAGGGTCGCAGTGAATGCGGGCTGTCTTGGGTTTTTTGAGGCACAATGTGGGATATGTAGATAATAAAATCTGATCGCTGCCCACATGGAACAAATTTTAGAATATAAGCCCAGTCAGCTCACTGCCCCAGAATCAAAGCCTACTCACAGCTACAGTATAGGATATAGGACAGGGTAGAACTGCCCTCTGGGTTTCCGAGACCGTAACTCTTTACAGTAGTAGAAAGCCCCATCTTTCTCCTAAGGACTGGCTGGTGGTTTCGAACTTCTGGCCTCCTGGAACATAACCCAACGAGTAACCATTAGTAACCATTACGCCATCAGGGATCCCTAGAAGCCCACAGTTGACATCATTTAGAGTGGTATAAAAATCAATATAAAAGTATGGGGACTACAAGAAACGTGGTCCCTTCTCTCCACCTTAAGCTGATCACCCTCATCCCTCACCTGGCTCCCCGCCTTGGTCTCCCTCCTCGTACTCTGCCCTTGGAGTGCAGTGTGTCCTGCACAGTAGCCAGGGCCATACCTGGCAAGGGGAAACCACCAGAACCCTGCCTGCTCCACACCCCCGTCAGCCCCCATTTCACTAGATGCAAAAGAAAGACCTGTCTGTCGTTGGCCATGTCGGATGGATAGGGAGCCCTGGTGCCCTAGTGGGTTACGTGTGGGTCAGCGGTTCGAAACCACAGACCTCTCTGAGGGAGAACCAGGAGACTTTCTGCTCCTGTAAAGAGTTACAGCTTCGGGAACTCAAGGGAGCAGTTTTACTCTGTCCTATGGTGTCTCTGTGAGTCGGAATTAACCCGAAGGCTGGGATGTTGGTTTGGCTTTGGGCTGATCTGCACTGGCCCCTTCTCTCTCTCTCTCTCTCTCTCTCTCTCTCATATATTCATAGACACACGTGTACACACCCCCATACAAGTGTGCATTTGCTCACTTTGCTCCACTCACACTGTTTTCCTTGATGTCTCAGGCATATGCCAGGCATGTGTCCACAGCAAGCCCAGTACGGCAATGCTTTGTCTGCAGGGAACACTCTGCCCAGTATACTGCGCAATTGTCACCATCTCAGTGAAGCCCACCCTGACCACCCTAATTCAAGTGGCAACTCCCTTCCTCCTCATCCCTGACAATCCCCTCCGTCCTGCATTCTTTTTTATTTTTTCTCCCCACAGCACTTTTTTATTTATGAGTTGATTCTTTTTGTTTGTTTGCTTGACACCTCTTCCCCCGCTGGGATGCATGTTGCAAGAGGGCAGAGGGATTTGCTTTGTTTTTGTATCCCCGGCACCTAGAACGATGTGTCCGGCATGCAGCAGATACTCCATAAATAATTGTTGAATGAGTGAATGAATATATAGCTCTTTGCTATTAGGTTGATTCCAACTCTGTTGGACAGAGTAGAACTGCCCCATAGGGTTCCCAGGGCTGTCTATCCTGCCCTATGGGGTCGCTGTAAGTCCAAATGGACGTGGTGTCAGGGAAGTGGGCTTGGTTTTGGAGCCCTTGTAGCTGGACACTGCCACCGCTTCTTCGGTGGAGCAGCTGGTCAGTTCGAATCACCTGCATTTTGGTTAGCAGCTAAGCCCTTAACCTCTGGGCCACCATGTCACCTTCCAACCAGTGAATAAGGAGAGATCAGTTTTGACTGTGGGTTCTCAGGGGAATCATGAAGAAGAACACTCTGAACTGGGTCCTGAATGATAGATAGGACGGATGGGACCGACAGATTTCGTGGGAAAGGGCGTTCGAGACAGGAATGTCATGGTCGTGCTCTCAAGGGCTCCTGGAAGGACGAGGATCCTTGACTAGCTGTCGCTTTGGGGGGGTTGAGTGAGAGGGTGGTTGTGGTGGGCCACAGAATTCAGGGATACAGGATCATTAAGGGGGTGCTCGGGGGGACCACTGGGCTGCTAACCAGAAGCTCAGCAGTTCAAACCCACCAGTTCAAAGTCTCTGTGGGAGAACCAAGTGTCAGTCTGCCTTCCTAAAGGTTTCCTGCCTAGGAAACCCCCTGGGGGCAGTTCTACCCTGTCCTGTGGGTCCCTTCTGCCTAGGAACCATCTGCAAGGCAGTGGGTTTGGTGAATGGAGCGAAGGAGTCAAGTCCCAGTCATTGCCTGTGGTCTGATGGCAGGCATGCTGGTGATTGAAATCGGGGACTCTCACCCAGGTGAGCATGAGGGCGTGGGAGATACTGTCGCTTGAAGATATCAGGAATGTGAGTAGTTTGCTAAGGAGATCGGATTTTTTTCGGTTGGACTCTATTGCTCACAACACGTTTATTCTGATTTAAGCTGCCTAACAACTGGGCGAAATGAGTTGGGCAGGTTTTTAAAAAAGATTTTTTAATGGATACACTTTTTTCCCCTTCAGGAATTGCACTTTATTATTTATTTTTTTTTAATGACTTCTCAAATCTGCTAAGAGTCTCGCTGATGGAGTTAGGAAGTGGGCAAGTGGGATCCCACAGTCTTGGGTCTTCACGGCTCATGTGTGTCCACGGTAGCAGGGCTACCTCTCTGATTCTGACATGATACTTACGCACGTAGATACCAGCTTCTTGCCATCCTCCCCACTCAGCTCATTGTTAAGAGTCAATTCTGACTCAGACGCTCCCAGGGACGCCCCCAGGGCTCCTGCCACCTCCCTGGCAATGGAAAGTAGCAGGTTCTTCTCCCAGTTACTAGCAGCTCTGATGGTGACTGGTCGGGCTGCTACCCACAAGGCCAGTAGTTAGCATCCACCCGTTGCTCCATGGGAGAAAGCTAAGCCTTCCTGCTCTCAGAAAGACTTCCAGTCTCAGAACCTAAGGGGCAGCCCTCATCTGTCCTACAGGGTGGCCCTGAGCCTTAATTTGCTCGATGGCAGAGGGCTAGTTACACAAGTCCTCCTTTAACAGATTCATGCCCCCCCCCCCAACTTGAAGTACTTCTTTGAGCTATTAATATATGTAATCGGTGGGTGTGTTGGATCCAGGGCTTTCCAGCAGTACATGCCCAAATTACCTGGGGAATCTTGTTAGACTGCAGAATCTGATTCCGTCTGACCGGGTGGAAAGGCACATTCTCGGCCGCGGGCTGGACTGGAGTGAACCCGGTCCCCTTTCGCGACTGCTTAGCACGCCTGCCTTGTTCTGACGTAGGTCGAGGCTGATTGAGCGCCTGCCTTTCTATTCCTAGCCGTGGTTGCTGCCTTTCCTTTGCTTCTGGGGTGGACGGGGGTTCCATCTGGATTGCCTGGAAAGCCCGGGAGTAAACCTGGTCTTCTTACTTCCCCCAGATGTCCGTAGGCAGGAAGAACTGGAGAGTGAGCTCAGTGAAGGCGAACACTGGTATGGAAACTCGTCGGAGACGCCCTCAGAAGCATCCTATGGGGAAGCCCAGGAGAACTATAAGCTGTCTCTGGAGGACGCCATCCGGGAGCAGTCCACCTCCCCCGACACCTCCTTGGGAAGCGCGACGCCCAGCAGCCACACCTTGGAGCTGGTGGCACTGGACGGGGACATCCTGCGGGACTCGCTGCAGTGCCACGGTCACCTTTCCCCTGGCGTGTCTTCTTGGTGCGAAGATGACCCCCCAGGTTCCAATAAGCCCCTGAGCAGCAACCTGAGGAGGCTGCTGGAGGCTGGCTCTCTCAAACTCGATGCCGCAGCCACGGCCAATGGCAGAGTGGAGTCCCCCGTGAACACCGGCTCGACTCTCTCCTTCTCGCCCCCCTCGCACCATGCCCAGCAGCTCAGTGTTCTTGCCAGGAAGTTGGCTGAGAAGCAGGAACAGAATGACCAATACACTCCAAATAACCGTTTTATATGGAATCAAGGTAAGTGGTTGCCGAACTCCACCGCCACTTGCGGCTTGTCCCCGGATTCAGCCATCCTCAAACTGAAAGCTGCAGCCAATGCGGTTCTGCAGGACAAATCCCTCACCAGGACGGAGGAGACCGTGCGCTTTGAGTCCTTCTCCTCCCCTTTTAGCTCCCAGTCTGCCAGTTCCACCTTGGCAGCCTTATCCAAGAAGGTCAGTGAGAGAAGTCTGACTCCTGGTCAGGAACACCCACCCCCCGCCAGCCCCTTTCTGTCCCTGGCGTCCATGACCTCCTCCGCGGCTCTCCTGAAAGAGGTGGCCGCCAGGGCTGCTGGGAGTCTTCTGGCTGAGAAATCCTCCCTGGTGCCTGAGGACCCTCTACCACCAGCGCCTTCCGAGAAAAAGCAAGAAAAAGCCACCCCACCCCCGCCTCCGCCGCCTCCGCCGCCTCCACCGCCGCCTCCACAATCCTTGGAATTATTGCTACTCCCAGTCCCGAAAGGAAGAGTCTCTAAGCCCTCCAATTCAGGTAAGGGATCTTTCAGTTACAACCGCCATGTCAGGGCTCTGGGACTGTAGTTCCGACGCCTGGTTTGTTGCCTCATCCCGTTAGGTTCCTTGTCTGACCTGAGGCAGGAATAATGATGATGATGATGATGCTAATAATAATAAAAGGGCCAAAGCGCAACATAATGCTGTTAGTAAGCAGTGTGGTCGCCGTTTGCCACGAAGCCGTCACAGAGCCTTGTTGTTGAAGGGCAATCAGACACACAGTACACCTCCCTTGCACATCAGTGATTTTCCTCCCCTTCCTAAGTTCAGGCGAGGCCCAGGCAAGAAATAGTTGATGGGGGAAGACCAAAGACCTTTTGTCCAAGAGCGCGTGGCCTCCCTGAACATTGGGGAAGCAACCCGGCGCTGGACATCGCGGACCAGGGAGAGCCCAGCCTCCTGCTGCCGCCATCGCAAACGCTGTGTTTTCTGCTCTAGTTCCTAGTCGCTGAAGAAGATCTCTGAGAACGTATTGTCCATCACACATAATCACATCACTTCCTCCACACGCTTCATATGTTTTACCAAATCCAGTCAGATGCTGAAGGGACGTGTGGGACCAATGGGACATTTGAAGCACCAGCTTTTTGGTTTGTCTCGTGGCGGCAGTCTTTCCAAAGGGGCAGTCGGTATCCCATCAGGCCCCGGTCTGCGCAGTTAGTCTTCCAAGGGGAAGTCTAGGCAATGGAGAGCTCAGAGCGCTGCAGCCGACATTTCTTGGGCTGGTGTGTTTGCACGGCGTGAATGCGATCATCTTGTGGTCCTGAGGTGCAGGTGTGGGGTCTTGGGTGTCTCTCAGGATAGGCTGCCACCATGCAATAGGACCTAGTGTCTGTGTGTCTTCACCGATATAAACACGGGCCTGCATGGAGGCATCTCACCAACTTTGGCCTGTTCGGGGCAACATGGATGAAGAGTGCTAGGAAAGGCGAAGTAAACGAGCTAACGTCAGTTCAATGCGTTGATGAGAAATTCCTGTGGAAGTGTTCAGTGCGCTCTGTGCACTCATTAGATTGACTTCCAAATGTGCGTAAACAGCAGAATTGTTGTTCGGTGCCACTGCGTCGGTTCTGACTCCGAGACCCTATTTGGCCAGCACTGCCCGCCCTGTGCCACTTTCACAATGGCAGCCACTGCAGTCCATGCAATTTTGGGTCTTCCTCTCATTTGCTGATCTTCTCTGTTTGACTTTACATGACGTCCTTGTCCAGGATCACCTCCTACTGACATGATGAGGTGAAGCCCACCACACTCCCCGCTAAGGAGCATCGTGGCTCCGCTGACTCGGATGTATTCCTTCTTTTAGGTAGATCAAACAGTCTTCATCAGCCCCGACGTTCAAAGGCATCGGCTCCTCTTCGGTGTGTCCAGCGTTCTCTCGCGGATGGTGTTGCAGTTAGAGGCCGAGGAGTCGGTTTTGAATCCTCTCCACCTTGGCACGGCAGAACGAAACACTGCCCGGTCCTGCATCAACTTCCCAGCTGTTGTTACGGTCAAGTCCACGGTTGCAACCGCTGTGTCGGTCCATCTTGGGGAAGGTCCTCCTCGTTGCCCCGGCCCCTCCACTTTATCCAGTGTGATGGCCTTTTCTACGACCGGTCTGTCCCGAGAGCATGTATCCGGGAAGGGAGACTATGCCCTGGCGTGGTGAGGGGCGCGTTAGCCCTCACAGTGACGTGTTTGCTTTGTGAAACCTTAGGGGAGTCTTGGGTTACAGATTTTCCCAGTGCAACATGCTGTGCGGTTTCCTGACTGCTGCTTCCTCAGCTGTTGATCATGGATCTTTGTAAAATGAAATCCTTGACAACTTCCGTCTTTTCCCTGTTAGTCATGAGTTTGCCTGTTGGTCCAGGTGTGAGGATTTTTGTTTTCTGCGCATTGAGTTAGAGTCTACCTGCAAGTTCTTCAAATCCTTTTTGCATCCGGCAAGTCAGACAATGCCATCTGCAGCTCTAACCCCGTGGTTAAATGATTCTTCCTCCAGGTTGACGTTCTTCTAGTTTCAGTCTTAGTTCTTCTTCGTATCATTCATCTTCACGGATGACTTACACAGTAGAGGAATTGAATAGGTGTGGTGAGAGGCTAGCACCCTGATGCACACCTTTCCTGGTGTGAAACCACCCAATGTCGTCCCTGTGTTCTGTTCATACTACAGTATGGTCCAGGTCCAGGTGCCTGGGACTTTAGCATGTTAAATGATCCAACCTGCCCGCTCCCGAGTTTCTGAAGTATCAATGAAATCCTGAACAGTGTATCAATGCTGAGTTTTAATTTGTCCTCCCTTCTCACCTGCCCTCTGGTGACATAAGGGGAGAAATGGCTACAACAAACAAATGAGGAGACGAGCAGGAGGGAGCTAGTTTACAGTGGAATCAGTCTTGGTTTCTAGAAATGTAATTTAGAGGTAGCAGCACAAGGTGAGAGGAGTCTGACTCTGTAGAATGTAACTTTATAAAGACCCCTTTTTACCTGGTTCTTGAGTAAATGTTCAAATGGCGCATGTAATCTGAATGTGTTTGGACATTCCCAAACCAAGCTCCCTGCCATCGAGGTGCTGTCACAGGGTAGAACTGCCCTTGTGAGCTTCCGACCCTGTTCATCTTTATGGGAGGCGAAGGCCCCATCTCTCTTCTGAGGAGTGGCTGGTGGTTTTGAACTGCTGACCTTGGGGTTAGCAGCCCAGCTCATAACCACTCTGCCACCAGGCCTATTATGTTTGAACATTAGTTATTTGGAAGATCCCATGTTCAATTACTTGTACACTTCGGTTTATAGTAACATATTTGTTATATTGATGGTACATTTTATGCTTTTCAAACTGAAGATGTGTGCCAAGAAATTGTGCCTGACAGAACGGCCCCTCCCATCTGTCATTGCTTCTGTCATTGCAGCGTGGTCTTAGGTATAGTCAGCAGCAGCAGTGATGGGGCTGTCAGGTGCCTGGTGCTGGGTTCAGATTCACAGCCACCTGGTGTCCAAGGCAAGGAAACACTGTCCTGTCCTGCGCCATCCACACAACCATTGTATTTGAGCCCATCGTTGCAGCCTCTGTGTCAATCCATCTGTGGTAGCACCTTTTCCACTCGAATGAGTAGATGTATGTGAAGATGAGAAAGAGGTTGTGTGTCCAGTGGAGGGAGATTTTGGTGGTGCTGTGGTTTGCCCGAGGATTGACACCTGGGGAAGAAATGTGTTTGGTATGAGCGCACGCGGTTGTTGTTAGGTGCCATTGAATGGCTTCCGACCCATGTCAGGCCTGTGCACAACAGAACGAAACACTGCCGGCCTGTGCCATCCTCACAGTTGTTCCTCTGCTCGAGTCCATTGCCCTGGTCACTGTGTCAGTCTGTCTCCTTGACGGCTTTCCTCATTTGGCTGCCCCTCTACCAAACATGACGTCCTTCTCCAGGGACTGGTCTCTCCTGACCACATGCCCAAAGGAGATAAGACTAAGTCTCACCATCCTTGCCTCTCAGGAACACTCTGGTCCTGCTTCTCCAAGACAGATTGGTCTGTCCTGTTAGCAGGCTGGGGTACGTTCCAGAGTCTTCTCCAGCACAGCAATTCAAATTCATCGACTCCTCTTCAGTCTTCTTTGTTCAGTGTCCAGCTTTCACGTGCGTAGAAGGCAATTGAAAATACCATGGCCGGGGCAGGTCTTCACAGTGATTTCTCCGTGAAGGTTGGGCTCTACCAATATCTCAACAGGCTTCCAAGCAGAATTGAGTATGTGAGAGCTGCATGGAATCTTTTTCTTTAACCAAACTTATAATATTTCTGAGACAATTCTTTCATCAGTGAATGCTCTCAATATTCAAATGGAAAGGGGAATTGCTTAGATTAGATCTTGCTGGTTGACTTGTATTCTCTGCCCCCCACTACATTTCCCTCTGTGCACAATCTCAAGAATTTAGTGAAGCCATTGCATTGGCAGGGCAATCTTAAGTATGTATGTATATACATATATATGTATAGTATATATATGTATTATATATATATATATTTACACTCATATTTTATTTTCTAAAACTCATGCAAGAGGAAAGATTGCTGGGGGCTTTGAAGTTGTCCTTTGACGGCTGTCCTGTGTGTCCATGTTTGCATCTTGCATTCGAGTTTTGTTTATTATTCTGTGGAACAGAAGCAGGAGCAAGGAGGCCTGTGCTTGCTTTCTTTTCCAGTTAAAGAGAACGTCAGTGCCTCCCAGAAGCCCAGCTAGGTCACTGGTAAGGAAGCAGTTGATATCATACGTAATATTGTTATTATGTATCCTTATATCATGCACAGGTGGTTGCATGTTATTAGGATTTTTTTTGGTTTGTTTTTTAACGTTTTATTGTAATTTGGGTAAAACTTAAGTTTTCCAGTCAACAATTCATGCACATTCTGCTTTTTGCGATTGGTTGTCATCTCAGTGTAATAGCACTCATTCCCACTCCCTCTCTGGGCTCCCTGAATTCCTTGTTTCTAGGCATGTATCACGGATAGTGGTCTAGCTATCTGTCGATCTGGCTATATATCTTTACACAGACACTCATGCACACACACACTGTGCCATCCACTTATTCAGACCCTATTTACAACAGAACGAAACACTTCCCAGTCTTGGACCATCCTCACAATTGTTCTAATGTTCGAGCCCATTGTTGCAGCCACTGTGTCAATCAATCCATCTTGTAGAGGGGTCTTCCTCTTTCCCCCTGTTCTGCTACTTTACTAAGCCAGATGCACTTCTCCAGGGACTGGTCGCTCCTGACAACATGTCCAGAGTACATGAGACGCTTTCTCTGGATCTTTGCCTCTCAGGAACCTTCTGGCTGTACTACTCCCAAGAGAGCTCTGTTTGTTCTTTTGGCAGTCCATGGTACTTTCAGTATTCTTCACCAGCACCAGACTTCAAATGTATCCATTCTTCTTTGGTCTTCTGTATTCAGTGTCCAACTTTTGCATACCTATGAGCTAATGGAAAAGACTAAG